GATACAAAATGGTCGATTTTTGATTAGCTTAGGGTCTGTATGATGTAGTGAATAATATTATTGCCGACCCTGCCACCAGTGAAACGTTTTGCTTGTTTAGATTGTTCACTCCTCGTGGAATCATCATGTCAGCTCGAATAACCAAGCAACTGCTCAAGGCGTCCACGACGCTCATTGAAGTGCCTGCAAAGAAGACACCGAAAGGCGCGACTAAGGCCAACGCAAGCGTGAAGGTGGTCAAACCGACCAAGAAGACCAAGCGATCACGCCATTTTCTGGTGGAGGCCGAGCAAGCTCGGTTGGAAGCAGACAACACGGAGAAGAATTTGCGCATTCTCAAAAGGTCTCTGAATTCGAAAGCTCAAGCTGTCATGCAAAAGGTAACACCTTCTCCTTCGTCAACTTGAACGGGTAGTAAAACTGGTGTAGATTCTCCATACGACCATGAAGAAGTAAAATGCTAGTACGCATGCCAGCCTTCACGAATGATCTGGCCTCGACTTATTTACAGAGCCTCAAGGGCAATCGATGTGCAAGTGTGTGGACGATTTGGTTTGTAGTTATGCGCCATATCAAACTAGCAGTATTGTCGAGGAAATCTTGCTTGGCATCTCTGTGGACACACAAACACTTGCTTCATGTTGAAACTGAACCCATGCGCATGTGGCACTGCTCGAACAGCAAGTGGCATGCTCTGCGTAGAGTTGAATATGGGAAAGATGCGTTGTGACACCAGGTGGCTGACCATACTTATATTGTGCACTTTAGCTCATGACAAGCTACTTGGAGGCACTACGTAGAAAGGTCGGCGTTAGCCACCCTGCCGTTTATTGGAGCTTCATTCGTACCTTGCATCGATGGGCTTGGTGACGGTAGCTTTGATTCCGCTTTCGTGCACGTTCACTTTGACCGTGTCAAGACCATCAAAATCGTCCTGCACAGGAACACAGTCAGCACGTACGACACTATACCGAACCAGAGCACCTTGGACAGCTTGGAAACCGTGTACGCGAACACAGAGATGGCGAATGTCCCGAGGCTGCCGGCCAGGATGAGGTTCTTCTTGAGCACAGGATTCATCGACGTTCGCTTTTGGTGGAAAGCACGTTGGTGGGCATCACAGTTCGTATCCGGATAATCGCCTGTCTTTCCGGTCGGCGTTATAATATTCCCTGGCTTTAACAGCTCTTTTCTTGTACAACACCACATACAGCTGACAATGGTCGTTAAAGCCAGGTACAGACATCGTGGCCAATCATGTGGTAAATGCACTTGGTGTTCGTATGACGTGGACAGTGTCACTAATTGGGTGAACTCCCCCCAACCATACTGAAATCAAGTCGAAATCCACGGATAAACATGCAGCCAGTTGACGTGTTTATGGCACTATTCTGCCCAATCATATCGCAGGATCCCCCTTGATAAACACTGTGATTGCACGCGGGGCGCTGGCGACGTTGGGTCGAGTGATGGCCATCTTGCTTTCGACATGCTTAGCCTCACCGATCTCTTCGCGGAGCACAAACAGCTCCTTGTGGGCTTTGCCTTGGCGTTCGTGATCGTGCTGTACTTGGCCACGCCCAAGAAGCACGCCGGGAAGAACTTGCCGCCTGTGCTTCCGTACTGGATTCCGTTTGTCGGGTCGTTCCTGCCGTTTGCAAAGGACCCGATTCAAATGGTGCTCGACGGGTACAGACTCAAGGGTCCTTGCTACACGGCCAAGATGTTCGGCCAAGACTTGACCTTCCTCATCGGTCCCGAGGCGCATGAAGCGTTCTATAAGCCGAACGACGACTACCTGAGCCAGGCCGAAGTATATCAGCTTATGACGCCTGTGTTTGGTCCTGGCTTGGTCTACGATGCTCCTCCCAAACGCCGAGCCCAGCAAATGCAGTTCATGGCGAATGGTCTCCGCGTCTCCCGCATGAAGAAGTATGTCGACAAGATCCGCTTCGAAGCCGAAACGTACTTTGGCGAGTTCCCGAACGACTCGACCATCAATTTGAAGAAAACGTTCGCTGAACTCGCGATCCTCACGGCGAGCCGTGCGTTGCTGGGCGACGAAGTCCGCGAGCACTTGTTCAAGGAAGTCAGCAGCTTGTACTGCGACTTGGACGGCGGTACCACTGCTTTTAGCTTCTTCTTCCCGTATGCCCCGACCCCCGCCCATCAACGCCGCGATGCCGCCCGCACCAAGATGATGCAGCTTTTCGCTGGTGTGATCAAGGCCCGTCGTGAGTCTGGCAAGCGCGTACGTGCCATGTTGCTGTCTGGAGTTCTCTCTTCGAATGAAACTCAATTCTTCTTGACCATGCAGGCGGACGATATCTTGGACACGTTTATGAACTCCGAGTACAAAGACACCCCCGGCGTAAACATTCCCGACGATCACATCGTGGGGCTACTAATTGCGCTTCTCTTCGCCGGCCAGCACACGAGCTCGCTTACGTTGACGTGGGCCGTGATCGAGTTGACGCTGCTACAGCCTGGCATGATGTACGTCGCGTGCTTCGTGGCTGTCCAACTCACGCCTGTCATGCCTAGTGACAAGATCTTGGAAGAGCAAAAGCAAGTCCTCGGCGACGCCGGTAACGACGGACTCACGTTTGACAACTTGAACAACATGCCTGTGCTGCATGCATGCATCAAGGAAACGCTTCGGTTGACGCCGCCATTGATTTTCCTCATGCGCAAAGTGATGAAGGACATCGTACGTGCGGCAGAGTACGTGATGGCCATGCGATTGACGCGTGTGTGTAGACGTGCGGCGAGTACACGATCCCGGCAGGCCACATTGTGTTTTCGTCGCCGGCGGCGGCCAACCGCCTCTCCGACTTTTGGTCGAACCCCGACTCGTATGACCCGATGCGGTTCCTGGACGGCCGCAACGAAGAAGACCGTGCCCCGTACACGAACGTGAGCTTTGGCGGCGGCATGCACGGGTGCATGGGCCAGCAGTACGCGTACATTCAAATCAAGATCATCTTGAGCATCTTTTTTCGCCAATTCAACGTCGAAGTGCTCGACAAGAAGTTCCCTAAGCAAGATTTCACGGCGCTGGTGGTGCCCCCCATGGGCGACACCCTTGCGCGTGTCACGAGAAAGTAGGTAGTTTGTATCGAGCCCAACACAAATCGATCGATCATGTCGGGTGTGTTTGTTGCGTGGCGGTGGAGAAGGAATCATGGATGCAAACCCTCCACAAGGTGACGACACGATCGGATTCGAACAAGAAGGTCTAGCTGACGGTAGCTGCCAGGTGGTGTTGTAACTTTGATGGCTGGACTGGAACCATCTTCGCAGTGTGGTCGATGGGCGAGGACGACTTCTTGACACGGTAGACGAGCTTGACGCCAACTTTGGTTTGGCTTCCGCGCCGCACTGGCGCCGACTGTCGAGGCACGACGTCTGCAAGCGGCAACGTCGGCCTTGCCACCACGTCCTGGTCGTGTCGACGAGATACTGGCGACGCCGTGGCACGTGGTTTCGGACCTCGCTTTTTCGTGACGGAAAGTGCTGATGCAGTCGCTTTGACTGAAGGTGGACAACTCAAGCGCTCGGATAGCGGTGGCAGTGGAAGGGGCAGCAATGGCTTGTTGGCTATTGTGGTGTCGACGGATGGGGGCTTCAATGCAGTCGAAGGCATGGACTTTGCGCGCGGTCGCGATGGCGGCTCATGGATCGTGGCCTTGTCCGTCAATTCTGCCGCAGTGTCGTTCAGTCTCTCCGATGGAGCCCTTTGCACTGGAGTCTTGGGAGGACTGGGTGTATCGGAAATTGGTGTCTCCTTCGGCTTTGCAGAGGTTGATGGAACGTCGGATGGGACGTCGTCCGCCGACAGGGCTGTTGTTTTCGTTATAGACTTCTGCCGGGAGGTCAACTTGGACGGAGCTATTGTAGCACGGGTCCCTGAACGATTCGGTATTTCATCCGTGCATGCTTTCCCCGACGGCTTTTTTGGTGCGCCTGGCTCGGTCGGGACCATATTCCCACTCTTGTGGTCGAACAGCATCTTGTGGTTGTGCTCCCGCTTGAGTATGCGCAGCGGCTCTACCGGTGGCCGAACTGGATCGGCCGCCTTCAGCCCTGGCGGCAATCCACCGGTCGAAGCAAGACCTTGTGCTTGTCCATGTTCGATTAATGCTGGTTGTTCGACTTGCACTCGACTGTAGGACGCGCCCCCTCGGTCACTCACATGCAGGACTCGGTCTCTCCAAGACTTAGACCATGCATTGCTGGGAGGGGCCTGAGGGAAATTGTTGGAATGGCTTGATGCTCCATCCAGAGACTGCGGTTGCGACAGGGTCAAGTTCTCCATGGCTTCATCGCCCCACTTGCCCGAATTAGCATGGTACGGAGTCACAGGAACCTTCATATGCACCGACGATACCGGTCTTTCCTTTTCCTCGTCTAGATCTCCCCAGCGGCTCGATTTCGATTGAAAGATGCTGCGAGCACTTGTTTTGTGGCCATGAACAGGAGATCCTTGCTCCTCGTGGTTGTGTTGATGCACTGCTCGTTTCAGGATCCAGGACACAGCGGCAGCATCGCGGGGTTTTCCCAGATCTTCCGTAGGATTCGTTGTGGGAGGAATCACAATCTCTTGCGTGGAAACTGCAAGTTGAGGCTGCGACCATCCCATTTTCGTTCGTCCAACGGAGGACCCATGCTGCTCATGTCCACTGGTTTCCATCTTCATGCTGGGGGTGTTGATCGGTGCCGGCGCCGATACCTTAACAGCATTCGACTTGGCAGCGTTGTTAAATCGACCCCACTTGCCAACCAAGACGCTTCGACTGTTTGCACTAAATCCTCCTACAATCATGTTACAACCCCAGAGACGCACGTCGGACGAGTCGTCTTACGGAAGTCATTTCCTCTGTGATGTGCCGCGGATGGTCTATGCATGGACGTGCGCCGTTCTGCAATACTCTGAAAGCGCTAGACCAAGGCTTCATAAGCCGCCATCATCTGCACGCCGCGTCGGTGGCAATCGTACCTTCTTGTCGGCGCAACCCCGCGAGAAGTTTTGTACTTCAAATCCACGATGACTGATAATTTTATTCATCTTTTTAATATCGGCCCTCGTTACATACAATTCTCCATACAATTCTCATAGAAGGCGTTCGAAACGAATAACATTTTTACCCACCACTTCAACTTGCCGTGTCGAGTACTTGAAATTTGTATGCGTCGAGCAGAAAGATCGGTGTAATTTTTTAATCTGCGACCCGTCGCACCGTTTCACACCGACTTGTGCCAACCGTCGCCGGTCAAGCGGCGCGTCCGCGCGCTGGATTCGGGGTCAGCTAGGTTCTCGATGTCGGCGAGGATGGCGCCCCTCGCGAAACGACGAGGTACTGGACCGAACTCGCGTTTCAAAAATGGCCCGCTCGTGGCTGCCCAACTCGAGGACCGACTGCTTGGCGGCAGAGGCAGTTCACGCGACGGAAGCGACGACAATGGCGGGGGGATGACTCCAACCTGTACAGGATTCATTCATGTTGGATATCGAACCGTGCGCATTCTATCGGCACTGAGTGAGCGCTGCAATCACGTCTGTCGGTGACGGCCGCTTCAGCGGGTCTCGGTCGAGGCACCGCCTGACCAACGTCGAAAACTCTGCCGGCACACTCGCGTCAAACTCGTGGGGGACAAGTGGGGTCGGCGTGTCGGTCAGCAGATGCATCACCGCAATGTCTGCACGAACAGGTCCCTGCGCTCGCCACGACGACGCATACGGGCGAACACGGGCCACAACTTCGCCAAACACGACTGCCATTGCAAACACGTGGGCAGCCGACCGACGCGATTCGCCTTGTCGCACAACTTCGGGCGCGGTCCACGCAAGTGAGTTCGTCCCAAACGATTGCACGGGCGGTACCCCCGACACGTCCAAGTACGACATGCACTGGACTTGGCATGTCCTGGTGGCGTCGTCCAGCACAATGTACTGCGCGCTCGTCCATGCGCGGTCAACCGCTTCCCACTGCACGTCCTCGAGGTACTCTACCGCGCGGGCAATGTCGAGGCACCACTTCTTCTGTGTTGCCCATGGAATGTCTTCGGCCAGAGGCTTCTTCGGGTCTTGGTACAACAGCGACGATAGTGACACGACGGCATGGGACGATGCATTCGCTTGCGTGGACGTCGGGCCGAAGACGGCATACATGGACGTCGACGAGTGCTTGATCGCGCCTAGCAGCGGCAGGACATTCGCATGCTGCAGCGACGCCAGGAGCGGCAGGCGTTGCACAAACATGCGACTGCCCACCGACGTCGCAAGGTTGTCGGTGGCCTCTGCATCCGCCATGACAGCGATCTCGAGTTTCTGAACGAGAACGCGGACCGAATTGTTGTATTCAGCTGTGAAGAACCCGCACGCCGACTTCTTGAGGTGCCGCAGTTCCGTCCGTTGTAGTACAGCATAGCCCTGTCGTGCATCGAGGGGGAACTGGGTCGCATCGTACGGCGCAGATGACGTTGCCGTCGCGACGAAGCGGGGCGGCGTCACGGGGTCCGACTTGTACTCGCCCGTGGTGGCGTCGTCTTCACAGGCGGAGCTCGTGCGCCGGGACATTTCCCGACCGAGCAGCGGGGCTGACTTCCGCCGACGGCGGCGGTGAAGTATGGCAAACCCAAGGATGGCGAGGACAGCACACGCCGCCGCAACGCCTGCCACGATGCCCCCGATGTTGGACGAGATGTCGGTGGACGTTGTCGGGGTCGGTTGAGACGTTGCGATGGTCGACGTGGGGGTCGTCGGGGGTGGTGTCCCCGGCAATTGGATGAGAAAGGAGCGCAAAGTTGACTCGCTGATGCCTGATACTGTCGACGCGTCGATGGGATTTCGTCTCAAGTCGCTGCACGAACATGTCAAGTTTCGGTGACATGTACGAGGACAAGTGTACATGGAAATCGGCGTGCCAGATTCAACCAACTTGATCAACGACGCCGGGATTTCCGTAAATTGGTTGCCGGACAAGTCACTAGGACATGCCGCATGCGACGTCAACGATGAGGGACGGCGTCGACGGAAGCGTACATGAGTTTGAGCTGGGATGTGGACCTCAAGTCGAGCGAAAACGCATTGGTGAGGTTGCTGGCTGTGATGGCGAGCGTCGTGAGCTGCGGCACGTCGATGGAGAGACCCGCAGCAGGCACAGTGCACCGGTCGATGAATCTAAGGCCAAGAACGAGGCGTCGTAAACGAGGCAAGATGCTGTCGATTGCTCGTACAAGGTGACGAGGGATGTGGGAAGGACGATTGTTGAGGAATGCTGCGCCGCGTTCACGTTCGTAAGGTTCCTGCATAACATTGATCGTATGTCCATGTCGATCTGGGCTTACAAAGATTCGAGACGCGCAAGTGTCGCGACCGCGCTGAAGCGGAAGTTAAAGCTGCGTGAGGACGGACTGCCCTTGATTGTTCTACAGGAACTCGACGGTAAGCATGGGTGCCTGGACAAAGTTGAAATTCGTACAATGCCGTGATGAGTTGTGGCGCTTTCGGGCCGACATTCCCGAGCTCTGCAAAGTTTCCTGTAAATGTCACGACGCTGTCTGTCGTCGTCGCGCCGGCATTGTCGGTGGCATCGGCAATGTCAATCTGGACTGTGGATTGTACCTCCACGCACTTGTAGTTGCCAATCGTACACTGGGCGCACCACTGGCTTTCGTAGAGGGATGGTACGTTCACAGCAAGTGTCACTCCTTTGCCGCATGGAGCCGACGGCACGTCGTAGCCACGTGCGACAGAAAGGCCAAGAAGCAGCACGAGACTCTTCATGGATAGCACGTTGCCGATGCGTTCTCGTGCACGTCAGAGCCAAGACTTGGGCGGCGGTGGTGGCGCTCGCTCGTCCACGACCCCTCGCCTTGTTTAATGCATGCGTTGAACAAAAAAGAATCCATATTTCGATAAAAAATACATTGATAGCTTGAGAATACATACAAAAATGAAGTTCTTTTCGTCGAACGGCGGTGATATCGATTTAAAATCCCAATCCAGGAGTTACACGTCCGTTGTGAATTTTGCGCCATTTTTCGCCGTCGTCGACGCCGGGTACGCACGGCTACCGCGGACTTCGCGATTCCCCGTCAATGGTATGTCAGCGCGCTGGCGCCCTAGCTTGGTGCTGTGCATTTACGACAACGTCCAGGTGCACATAAATCTCAAGGCCAAAGCCTGTGAGAAATCCAAGCACTGCGACGAAAACGTGTAGAATACTCCACAACGTCGGAGTGACGGACGTTAGATCTTCGTCAACGGACGACGACGTCGTCTTGCGTTGCTGTCAGAATGGTGGTATCAATCCCAGAACATGCGAACCCGGGACTTGGCCGCCTTCGTCGTCATCCGAAGCACCGTTCAATCCATTCGGTGGTAGACATCGAGCACGTTTTGACCCTTCTTCCACGGACAGCTAAATTCCCGACGTGATGCGGCATATGCAATGCAGGGCGGAAGAGCCTGGTGGTTGGGGGAAAATGCCGGCGCGACCAAGGGCCCAACGCCTCTCGCAATCTAGCCAATGCTTCACAAGAGCCAATCTAGAAACCACCTCTGTTCGTGGCGAGGGAGCTTCGCCCCGCTCATTACTTTTTCGAGGCATGCGTCCGCCATCGCACCTCTTCCCGCGGCGAGGGCGATCGTTATCCGGATTTCCGTATAAGCGACGTACCCCACAATCTCACGTTTCTGGCGATGGCCGCGCTTCCGTCGGCGCCACCACCGCGTGGCCCTCCAGTTGTGTACCGAAAGGATAGGACGGCATTGTCTCTGTATTCAAGCATTCTACTTGGAGCGATATGCATCTTGTCAGTGGCGATACGTCTCTTCTCCGTGGCTCAATGGGGCAGCGTCATCCACGAGTTCGACCCGCAGTTTAACTTTCGCACGACCAAGTTTCTCGCCACGAACTCGTTCTCGGACTTCCTCAATTGGTTTGACGATCGCGCGTGGTACCCACTCGGTCGAGTCGTCGGCGGAACGTTGTACCCCGGTCTCATGCTGATCTCGGCGACAGTGTATCGCGTCCTCCATGCCGTGGGCCTTCCCGTGTCCATCCTGGACATTTGCGTATTTTTCGCTCCGTGTTTCTCGGCGGCAACATCGCTGGCCGCGTATGCTCTCACGTTTCACGTGACTCAGCGCCAGCGCACCGCATTGATTGCAGCGTTCTTCATGAGCATCGTGCCAGCGTACATTTCTCGGTCGGTCGGCGGGTCGTACGACAACGAAGGTGTCGCAATCTTCTTGCTCGTGCTCGTGTTCTTCCTCTGGGTGCGTGCAGTCGATTCGGGCCACATGGTGGACGCCGCCGCGACCGCACTCGCATATTTTGCCATGGTGCTGTCGTGGGGCGGGTACGTCTTCCTCATCAACGTGATCCCGATCCACACGTTGTTCCTCGTGCTCTCGGGCCAGTACTCGCCGCGACTGTACGTTGCGTACGGCACGTTTTACATCCTCGCGACGCTGTTTGCAATGCAAGTGCCGTTCGTCGGGTTCAACGTGATCCAGAAAGCTGAAACGATCGGGTCCCATGGCGTGTTTGGCATCCTCCAGAGTAAGATCTTTCTTCTTCCGCTCGTCTCAACTTGGTGGGGACAGTCGTAGCCTTTGCCAAGTGGCTTGAGAGTCTTGTCGGCGTCCACATCCACCGCCTCCGTGCGGCCATCGTCCGTGTGGGCCTCGCGACCGCCGGTGTTGTCGTCGTTGCGGCGATTCTCCTTCAAGTCACAGGCGTCCTGCAGTGGTCTGGCCGAAGCCTCACCCTCCTGGATCCAACGTACGCCTCCAAGTACATCCCTATCATCGCGTCCGTGAGCGAGCACCAGCCGTCGTCGTGGGCCGGGTTCTACATGTCGTTTGGCCCGTCGCTCGTTTTCGTCCCGCTCGGGCTCTTCTTTTTGTTCGAAGAAACCCCGCTGTCGTCGTCCAAACTCTTCATCGTGATCTACTCGACATTTGCGTGGTATTTTGCTGGCGTGATGAACCGACTGGTGCTGACGCTGGCACCGGCGGCGTGCATCGTCGCCGCCATCGGGCTATCAAGTACACTGGACACACTCTTCTTTTACATGCGGCGCGACAACCACGCGTCCTTGAGCGAAGCCCAAGGGTTCCCTGGTGAGGAGGACGAAGTCAAGGTCGTCCAGTGCGAACTCGACCGAAAGCGTGCTGCTCTGATGGCGGCGGCCGGTGGACGAGGCAATCTCCCGGCACACGCGCTAGAAGACACGGACGTGTTTGGCGACTCGGTGGCACTGCTCGTGAACGTCATGTCGTTCCAGTCGATGGCTGCGACCCGGAACCGCAAAACCCCCGGCGCCATCCAAGCCGTCGTGGTCGGGCTGGTCGTCGTGCTCGTGTGGCAGCTTCGACACGCTGCGTCCGTTACAACCAAAGCGTACTCGAGCACGTCTCTCGTCCACGAGAGCCGTCATCGCACGACCGGCGACGACCTCATCCACGACGACTTTCGCGAAGCATTTGGGTGGCTGCGGCACAACACGCCGCCGCATGCGGTCGTCCTGTCGTGGTGGGACTATGGGTACCAGCTCTCAACGTATGCGAATCGAACTGTCCTGGTCGACAACAACACGTGGAATAACACGCACATCGCGACCGTCGGCCGTGTGTTTGGGTCCACCGAGGCGCAGGCGGTCCCGATCCTCGACAGCCTGAACGTGGATTACGTGTTTTTGTTGTTTGGCGGCGCCAGCGGCTACGGAGTACGGCGCGATGACATGGCGACGACGTTTCTTGACTGGTATGTGTTTAGGGCGATGACTTGGACAAGTTTTCCTGGTTCCTCCGCATCGCTCAAGGCGTGTACCCCGACGTCGTCGATGTCAACAAATTTCTCGTCAACGGGTACGTCGACTCGGGCGAGGCGGCGACGCCCGCGATGAAGGAGTGCCTGCTCTACAAACTGAGCTACTACCGATTCGACGAGTTGGTGACGGACCCGGCGACCAAAATCAAGGGCTACGACTTGAACCGACGTCGAAAGCAACGGGCAGCGCCGATCGCGCTCTCGCATTTTGACGAAGTCTTTACGTCCGAGGCATGGATCGTTCGCATTTTTAACGTGCGCCGCGACGTATTGCGCTAAGGAAAGTGTGTTCGCGCAGCCGAATGAAAATGCCACGAGGATGCGATCGAAGCGTGATCGAGATTTCGTTTCATTACACGATCCAAGTTCCCTTTGCCTGGCACGCCTCCACCGACGGGCGCTTGTAGTCAGCATATGCCATCGCCGCAGGCTCCGACTCGTCTTGGACTTGCCATTGGCGAGAGGTAGCTTCGAGGGACGCTAGAACTTGCTCGTACTGCCCAGCGATGGCGCTGTGTCCTTGGCCCGCGGCCTCCCTGTCGCCATTCGTCATGACAATCCCGACTCCTTCTCGAACTTGCTTACGCACATGAGTTGATGGCGGACGTGGTCCATGTGGGCATCGATGTTGGCCGCATCGACAAAATTCATCGCGACCGCAATGCTCTGCATGCACACATGCACGCATGACGAGAATGTGCTGCCACATGAACCATCGTACCAAGTCGAGGTTGACGACTTGATGGGGCGAGTCGGCAGGAATGAACATAATTTCGCCGGCTTCCAGCACCCCTTCAAACACTTGGACATGGCGCAGCAGCGGAAACGCTGACGTGTTGGGAGCCATCAAGTCGGCATCGAACTTGCCGTCGCCGTCACCTACACGCTCGTACACGAATGGGCGAGCAGATGGCGGGGCAATCCGCCACCGCTTGCGGCCGTGGAGGAGCCCCATCCACGCGGCAGTCGCACCCCAGTCCGTGTGGAGCCCTATATGCCGCGCCACGACATTCAGATGAAGGAACAATCGAGGAAGTGAGTCGCACCCGAGGACGTCCCGACGTCGCCTACGAACAAGCTCGGCCAGTACTTGGTGTTTTTCGTGCAGGTAGTCTGCAGTGCGTCCCGCACAAAGAGCTTTGGAATCTGTGGCATGCCCACGGTAGCAAACAGTGGACGGTCGAGACGGAATGGCTAGCGCACCACGAACGACTGTAGCAGGTCCGGGCAGAACTCGATCACACTCATGTCGTGGAGGTACAGGGACGACAGACTTGCGGGCCTGCGCAGGAAGACCGCGTATGAGTTCTGTCGACATGATCGGCGGTGCATACCACGGCTCGAGTTTGTGTTGGATGTCATGCAAAAACTGGCGCAGATCAGCGCGGGCGACAGCTTCGATGCCTATACCGAGCCAAGGAATCCAGTAATTGCCTCAATACGAGTGGAATCGACGGGAATTGCCGAAATGGAACCTGCCCACGACGGTTTGGTCGGGTTGCGGCGCTTCAGGACGACGGACCGAGTGCCGCAGGTGGCGTTGAGCACGTCGAGGGACCACGGCGGGATGCCAGGAGACTGAGGAAGCCGTGGACTGTGCGTCAAGATGAGTGGCACAGATCCCTTGGCTAACGCCAAGTAGTCCGAGTACCTATCCATCGTCCATGCAGACATGTTTTCGAGCGCAGGCAAGAATGTACGATAATGTTCGTATGTCCACGCGTGGAATCGGGAGGGAGGGTTTCATCGAGGGCAACGTGTCGTCAATGGCCAGCGCGGGACCGCTGTGGATGGTGGCAGTGCACGATGACGCTGCATCGGTGGACGGAGTTGGGTCGGGAATCGGAGATTTGACCTGGTCGGCAGTCGCACACGCGGTCGTGGTTTGGATTTGGCGATCTTTTTCACGCTGGAGTTGGTGGCGCAGCGTACGATACGCCTAGAAACGAAATCTACAGTCAGTGGAATGAAGCTAGCTCGTCCGAGCAAACGGGTCGACGTGCCTCGGACACGTGGCGGTGGCGCCGCTGCTCGTCTGCGTACATGGTTTGCACATGGGCAAGCACTGCGAGCCAATCGCAGAATTCACGTCAGCTTGCATGAGAGGGGACGGACGTTCGTACCATGACGAAGCACGTCGAGAGGGTAGGTAGCGTGAGGTGACAGCGTCAAGAGCTGGGCCATCGCGTGCTCGACATCGGCATCAATGACCTGCACAGATCAGCGCGTCGAGAGTTACGAAATCCATGGCCTCGCGACCTGTTGAGTGAAGGAGGCTGAAAACATGGAGCAGCTGTCGACATCCAGGTTAAACTACGGGACGCACATTGTTATGTCCTGTATCCTCTGGTAGTTTCCCTTCGCGTACTTGACGGCACACTGCGGGGATTCGAGTTGGCAGCGACAGCGTGTCGCCTTCGAAGACGGAGAGCTAGACCACCGCCTCCCCGGTGACGTTGAACGTGGATTTGTAATGGAAATACTTGAAAGTAGGTGGGTGAGCGAGCCGTGTCTGCGTGGTGAACATTGAATGGGAGCGTTTTTAGTTGTTGTGGCACATGGGTAGTCGAGTGCGCATGGCAGCGGCAAGCTTGATTTCCTTGCCGTCACATCGTCAAAACCATTCGCGCCGTGTATCGACAAACCTTGTTGCAGCCCTGCCAGGTACGCCTTGAACATGATGCAATCGTGCGGAAGGAGGTCGCTGCTTTCGCAGAACTTGTCCCCTTCGACCTGTATGTCTGCACAACATGGCACACGCAGCTCCTGTCTGCGAGAGATACCATCCACGCCCTGGACTTGGATGTGTGTTTGAATGAGCCATTGCCGCGAATCCAGGTATTCAATGGCGCTCGAGGTTATGCACACCACCGCCGCCGCCGCAAACCACCGCAGGTGCATGAGCGATGTGGGAAAGATTTGGGGTTTGATATCCAATATCCGGATGAATAATCTAATATCCCAATTTTTTGAAATTACATATAGTTCATGCAAGATAATTGTATTCTACTTCGAAAGTCGAATCATTTGTGGATCCGGATATGCCCCAACGACACGCCCTTTCCACCATTAGCGATCTTTCTGGGACGCCAACACTTGCCATGCTCCCCCTCCGCAAGATCACGTTGCTGGTCATGTCGAGCTTCGTCCTGGCAGGCGATGGCATTCCCCGCTTCGACAGCGTCAAGCGAGCAATACCTGGCCATGGCTTGATCTTGGACTCCCACACGGTCAAGCCTCCACCCGATCGGCATGTCGACGTCGAGTTAATCCAAGAAAGCGACCATGAACCCACGTTCCGCCTGCTTCACGATGATGTCGTGCACTCACCTCACTCCCACGTACGTTATGACAGTCTGCGGTGGAGCACTCTCGCTTATTTCACGCCCGTCCAGAAAGTTGAATTGTCCGGCATCACCCCCGGTCGAGGTGCTCGATATGTGGCTGCATTTGCCATTGCTTCTGGCGAAGAAATTCTGAGCATCCCTATGGAGGACGTTATGTCCGTTCACACGGCAAAGCATGGCCGTATCCATCGCCTTGTGGATGCGAACCCGCACCTTCCACCCGCGGTCGTCCTGGCATTGCACCTGCTCGAAGAACGGTCCTTGGGACCCGCGTCCAAGTGGCACGACTTCATCCAGACCCTTCCCACGACCTTTCACAGCGCCATTTACTTGACTGATGTATGTACATCTTGATCGTTGCGACAAGTATGGCATGACGGTGCGGTTGTGCAGGATGAATGGGATATCATTCAAGGCTCGCACGTGGCGCGACTCATCGAGATCCGTCGCAAAGCGATCGCCGACTTCTTCGACGCGTTAGAGTCGCCGCTCACGTCCAATGCGGTGGACCCTCCCTTCTTCACGCCAGCACAGTTCACGCTCAAAACGTTCCAATGGGCCATGGCTGCCGTGTGGTGTGTTGTTTATCTTGATCCTCCCGTCATATGCCTCCTGACAACGTCAAAAGGGCGCACACGATTCTCGTCCCGAAATTAGCCGTCGATGCATCGGCACGTCTCGCAGACGACAGCGATCTCTTTGACGCGGTGCTCGTCCCGATTGTCAGCACCCTGACTCCATGCGACGACTGTGACAACGTTGTTCACGTCCAAGACGGCTACGTCACGCTTGTGGCATCGCAGCCTCTCGCAGCAGGCGACGAGGTATGGCTAGTCTATCGCATGATGTGCACCATAACGTGGGTTCACTTGGCGCAGGTGCAGTTCCACTTGGGCGCCAACTCGCTCGCCGTTTACATGCTCAACCACGGGTTTGCTCCGTCCAAGCCATCGCCGCTCGACGTGGTGGCCATCGGCCTGCAAGTCGAGGCTTCGGACCCGCTCCTTGTGTTCAAAAACCAGATCCTCGCCATGATGAACACGACGATGGACGAGTCGTACACGCCGGCGTACGGCACCGCACGCGACACCATCCTGTCGTCCATGCTCCCGTCCATGCGCGCCAAGGTAGCATGGCCGCTCGAGCTTGGACGCCAAGATCGACTACGTTAGTGACGGCGGACGCATGATGTTGTTAGGTTCTCGCCGCCAACGAAATGGACCGAGTGCAGCGAGTGCTCGACGGTGACATCGTGTCGTACGTCGGCACTGCCAGCAACTTGTCGTTCTGGCCACACATGTCTAAGTCGACGACTAGGCTGCGCAACGAGCACGCCGTGTGCCGCGCGCTGTATCAAACTGTCCAGACGATGCTCCGCCAATTCGCGACACCGCCGGACCAAGTGGACCAAGCCGTTCGCCGCAACGACCTGCCTCCACGAACAAAGGACTTGCTTCGGACCGTGCAAGTGGAGCAGCACGTGCTCCTGGCGACGCAGGACGCCATTCGAGTCCACTGGGACCAACTTCTCGTGGACGACTCGATCCTAGCGCACGTGTCCAAGCATCAAACTCCATGAAGGCCGAATCCACCCCCGTCAACTTTCGTAGGTCGCCACGGCCATCGTCGCGTTTTGGAGCGCATCTGCCTTTGAATGGACAGCACATCTTTTCTTAGATCACGTTATGCTTTGGCCGGAGGCTGCCGCTGGACGCGCGTGGTTAGGACGAGGCCTTGCTCGCACATGCGCGCGTTCAACTCGCCTTTCCAGTACATGCCTTTGGAGTGCTTGGCGTTGTATGTCACTGCGTAGTCGAGTCAGGTCGCCAGTCCAACAGATCGAGGCGGCGACGTACCACCGAGGATATCTTGGAACTTGGTGACTCGGTTGAGCTCGCTTCGGACCTTGGCAACGTCGTCCTAGTCGTGCCAAAGTGAGCACACCCAGCGCTCAATGCAACGACGGAATCGATGCTCTCGTTACAGGATGGACAAGGTCGAAGAAGGTCAGGTCGTCCTGAAGCGCCTTCTTCTCGTGGTACCCCAGCACGCGCGTATAGCTGGCCGTCATGTACGTGACTCGACGGTCTTGGTCGAGCGACACCATCGCAATGAGGTCGGCGTTCTGCTCGCACAAGTCCTTGTACATTTGGAGCTGCTTGACCTGCACCAGACGCATCCAGTCAAGTTACCGACGCATGCATCCTGAACCAGCACCTCCGTTTTCAGACACTCCACGAACGCCTTCTTGCGCAGCCGCGACTTGCGCGAGTGGTCGCGGTTGCGCTCGCGGCTCTTGTCGGCCTTGGACACGAGCGAGTCTTTGTCAAAGTCGACGTCCGCTACACGAATGCGTTATTCCTCGTACGGAAAGGAATCGTCCAACGTACAGGCGTTCCATGTGCCGCTTCCAAACGAGTGCGACGTCAAGTCGGCCGAGTTTTGCTTGTTGTTCTGAATCATGGTCGACAGCATCTCGGGCGATAGCGTCTGCGATCCGACGGCGCCGCTCCCCACCGCTGGCCCGAATTGAAACGCCTTCTCTGCCTTGATCCGGACGCTGCTGTCGAGGAGCGCGTCTGCGGTTGTATGCTTGGCATCGAGTCCGTCGTTGCCTCGAAGTAGGAGCGACGATGAAGACGACGCCGGCGCGTCCACGGGAAGACCACCGTCTTGGAGATGATGGTGATGGTTCATGTGGAAGCCACCGCCGATGCCGGCCGGAAGGGTCATCGATGTCATGTTGTGTCCATGGACGAGACTGGAGGTCGCGGCGGCGACGGAAGAGCCGGGGCCCATCGACGTCGGCATGGTTGATTGCTGGATGAGAGATTCAAAGTACTGCGCATTCAGCTGTGCGCGGGACATGTCGCTGTTGTTGGACTGGTGCTGCTGCTGGTACTGTTTTTGCTGCATGGACCGCGGACTCTCGAGCTTGACGCCCATGAGCGCCGCGTACGCTTCCACGGACGTGTCGCCGCCATGCTGATTGCTCGTCTCCATGGGCATGGTCGGCTGCTTGAGGCCAAACTGGGACGCATACGCTTGAAAGAGCGACGACTGATTTGTCTGGATGGCAGGGTTGTTCTGGTTCATCATGTCGACGTCCACATGACCTGGGGACATGTGCCCGCCTCGGAGTTGCTGGTTGTGATGCATGTATTGGTTCGACGACATGCTGTTGTGGGTCGACGGTCCACCCTTGGCCCGCTGCTGGTTGTGCATCGGCGGCATCGCCGGGTTTGCGTGAAGCGCTTGCTGCTGGAGGAGGCTCATGTTGGACATGTTGGCTAGGAACGGGTACGTCCCGTCAATGAGCCCGAGGTCGTCCGTGTCCATCACGTCGTCGATCAAGAACTGGTTGCTGTCCATGGTCGCCGCCGTCTTGCCGTCGATTGCGCTGCGTATTCCAAACTCGTCGCAAGAAGGGCGAAACAGCTGCGCTAGAGGGTCTTACTTCGAACTTCGCTAATTTATCTGTCGCTAGTTCGGTGGGGACCAATTATCGAAGTTCGAAGTCAAAACGCTGTCCAGTGACCGCAATGGTTTGAATTGGATTGTGTTCATTGGACACTGAACGAAAACACCGGATAAACGGACCCATTTTCAGTCACGGAACTGACACCAGTGGTTGAAGGCAATTGTATGACACTCGCGATACTGTACGTACTGTGTACCAACCTGGTCCTTGGGTTTAACCGCGTTATATGTCGACGAGGCCATATACGCATTGCCACGTCTTGAGATGTTCGCCGTTCCCGGCCACGCATTCGCGACAAGGTCGCATTTCGACCAGACGTGAATGCTGGTTCAAGCGATATGGACCCCCAACGCCTGTCGGATACGCTGCAATTTTGTTCCCACATGGTTCCCACATAATAAAACGTGCGTTTAATGAATTAAACGTATTCTCAAGTCCGCGTTGAAGTGGAGAACTCGAAACGCCCTGGCGGATCTTTCAAGGTTCTCAGCAGTCGCGTGGGTCCAGAGCGCTAGGCGACCACGCTTCTGCGACCTCGTCATGCGGTTTTGGCCCTGAGATACGCACAGCTTGGACGGCCTTGGCGCCTACGGGCAGTCTTGGACGATGGTAAAACCGTCGGCTCCAGTGTGTCACCCCCAGTCACGAAAAGTTGGCACAGAGTGCTGTCTCGTACGTTCAGTATGCATAACGGCTACGATTCAGTGGCGGAAAAGTTCGAAGGTTCCGTCGTTGGGCCAATGCCGGTGCCGTGGCATAACCCCGAAGGCGCAAGCGTGACTTCTGTGAGCATCGCAACCACCTGCAAGGCAATCTTCAGCCATTGCCTGCGATCCCGTGCCGAGTGACGACAATACGCTGCATCAGCCATTGCTGTGTCGTTTGACGTTGCCAATGGCTCCATCCTGTTTAGATTTCGTGCATACTCGCTCGAGGATATAGTCAACATCGTGTTGTTTGGATGGTTGGGGATATGCCAATGCGTGTCGCGATGGACTCGCTATGGCGTTCGCTCGTTCAAGAGCCACAGAAAGAAGGACGCACTGTGCACGTTCACGGAGCAGTTGACGCGGTCCAAATCGTGGCCGCCTTCGACGAGGCCCCATCGTTCAATCTGGAATTCCATTATGACCACGAATGGACACAGGCGATTACCTGGTACTCTTCTTCGAGACGACCCAGCTCGATCGCCTACGACCACACAATTCTAGTCGGTACTTGTCGTCAGGAGTCACTTACCTCCTTGGCCGTGATGTGACGCTTGAGCAGAGCCAGAGCAACCACCATCGACTACCAAACCCCCGTCGTTCACGGCGGCCACCACGAGTATGCTGGACGTTACCTTGCATTCACGAACGATCAGTCGAAATGCCATCAACTCGAACTTGTCCATCTAGCCAAGGTATTGAGCCAACAACCAACTACGACACAGCGTCAGACGTACCGAGTACACAAACGCGCGGACGTTCTCGACGGCCACGGGACTGTGCTCCAACTTGTTGATGGTGCCGTAGTTAATGTCAAGCTCGCCTCCGAACTCGGTTTCGAACCACTTGCGCAGCGGCTGCCACTTCTTCTCTTGGCGGGCCGCGAGCTTCTCCTGGTGCTGGCTTTCCACAGGAAAGCAGATCGTGTCAGTTTGCAAGTACTTCATGATTTCTTCAATGATAAAGTCGAAGTCCCAATGGTCCAGCGCCGTCGATGCCAACGTCATGATCGGCATCGTCGTTGGCTGGATCGTTTCATGTTGGGCATCCCATTCCTTTGCGACTGCGGCGGCCAGCGACTTGGTGGGGAGCTGCAGGAGCGATCGACTCGGTGTTCGCACCTTCTTGCCATCTAGCGTGATGCAGTACCCGTCACCTTCGGCTTCGATGCCCACAGCTTTGTAAAAGCGAGAGCGTCCTGCAATTTTAGCGCCAGATCCAGAGCTGACACCGCCACGTGGGGTCTCTGCTGCAGCACTGAATGTCGCGACGTGCTTGGGCGCGTTAGCGGCGAGTCGTGCAGTTGCGCGCTGCATCATCGTCGCTCCGTGGACTGCACTGGTCGATGTGCTTCAAAATTATCCGGTGTTTTCTAGATTTATCCGGATTTCCCTGGATGTCCGTTGCCGCGAATTGGCAATCGGAGCTGGTGGACAATGTGCTCGATCCAACTGGCTTTGCTGACGATGTAGAAGAGCGCACGGCTGAAGGCGCACCAGGGAGTGCATGGAGCTTAGAGCAAACTGTGCTGTGTGCAATTCCAAACGGCTCAGCAAACCAGCCATTCTGTCCCACTGGCGACCTGTGCCTAGCATGGCACTGGGATCGGTGGACCGCCCTCTGCTCATGAGCGTACAGGCCTCGTAGAAGTGTGTTGTGCATGCGCTGCGATGTAGCGACATTCTCCCTCATCAGGCACAACTTATCGCAACATCGAGATGCTGGCTCGTTTGATTGAATTGCCTGCTCGAGACAGATTGCCCATCCATTCAGGCAGCACCCTTCGCGCTCGTACAATGAGTTGTGAAAATGACGACTTCTGGGTGGCGTCCCCTTGCAGGATATCCTTGGAGGCTACATCTTGGCGGTCGGCTTAGCAGTCGATGCGGCGTCGCTTTCGGTCAATTCGAGTGCCTCGTCGACATCAGCGGCACGCGCGATGGTCGGCCGATCCGTGGCGGCGACGGCGTCAGTAGGGGCGGAAGCGGGCTTGGCTCCATACCGGACCAGGTCGATCGCGTAAATGACGAGACCAAGCCAGACTTGGGCGAACCCGATCGCTTTTGTCCACTGAAAATCCTCATTGTAAATGACGACGCCCGTGAGAATGTTGAGCGTCGGCCCGATGAATTGAAGCAAACCCATGGTCGTAAGGGGGATGCGCTTGATGGCCGTGGAGAAGAGCAGTTGTGGCGTTACCGTGAGAACGCCAAGACCAACCAGGAGAATGTCGTACCCGGGATACAATGACATGAACGCCGCAGTGCCGCGGCGGTGCTCGTATATCAAATACACGGCACTTGGCACCGTCAAGATGGCAAACTCGATGCAAATGCCCTGGACGGACACGAGTGGCGCCTTCTTCTGCATGAGCCCATACACGCCAAAGTTGGCGGCGAGGACAATCGAGATCCACGGAAACTTGCCGTATAAGAACGTGACGGTGAGCAGCCCAGACGTCGCCATGGCGATGGCAACCCACTGCCACCGTCGAAGCCGCTCGCGAAGCATGACGACGCCCAGGAGTACCGTCACGAGGGGGCTGGTAAAGTACCCCAGGCTCAGCTCGACGATGAATCCAGCATTCGCGGCCACAATGCTGACACACAAGTTGATGCCCAAGAGGGTCGCTGTCACGATGTAAAACACCACAGTCGTCGCTTGGAATGACACACACGAACGTGTTGTGGGACCGTGGCCAGTTGCGACCGCGACAACGGCAGCGACGGGCAGAGCCCACACGATACGATGGCATAGGAGCTGCATCGCAGGCACCTGAACGAGCAGCCTCCAGTAGATGGCACTCAGCCCCCAAATAACGTACGCAACGACCCCCATCAAAGTGCCTTGGCGCTGCAGCGGGAACATGGGGCGCACTGTTCAGGCAAAGATATGGCCACAGATGGCGGCATCTCGGGTATTTATAGCTACAACAGACACATGCCGTCGTCATGCTGCCGAGGCTGGCGCAAGGGATCGCGCTGCGATCGGTGCATTCGATGAACAGAGTAGTAGCGCATTACCTATGCAGCTTCCACCTCGTGCAGTGCTCCCAAAACAGTGTGTTTCGTTGGAGGCCGTACGAAAGCCTTGCTTTCCTAGTGTGCCGACCTGGCGGCCCGGCCAGCATGCTACTGGGACCCACGACATGGTAAAGCTGCGAATGCTACATTTCGTTTGCCAGTCGCTTATCTCATGGCGCGACAAAGGCACGGTTGCGTACGCGTGCCAGTGCAAGTGGGCAAGTGTCACGACCAAAGCCACCCCCGACTCGCTCCAGATCAAGTGGTGCTGCGCTGGGCACTAGCACGTTAAACGAGCGCTTTTTCACACGGCATCCCGTCCTTGTGACTCTGTCCGCCATATGTCGACAAGTCCAAGGCAACACCGTGTTGGAATGCATATATCGACTTAGTCACACCTCTTCATCTACCCTTCGTCGCCGCCTTCCTCTTCTTCGCCTTCGCCTTCCGCGGTTTCGGCGCTGACTTCTTCGTAGTCCTTTTCGAGCGCAGCCAAATCTTCGCGCGCTTCGGAAAACTCGCCTTCTTCCATCCCTTCACCGACATACCAGTGCACGAACGCGCGCTTGGCGTACATCAAGTCGAACTTGTGGTCGATGCGGCTAAAGACTTCGGCGATCGCGCTCGTGTTGGAGATCATGCACACGGCGCGTTGGACGCGGGCCAAGTCGCCGCCCGGCACGACGGTCGGTGGCTGGTAGTTGATGCCGCACTTGAACCCGGTCGGGCACCAGTCGACAAACTGGATCGTGCGCTTCGTCTTGATGGTCGCGACGGCAGCGTTCACGTCCTTGGGCACGACATCCCCACGGTACATGAGGCACGCCGCCATGTACTTGCCGTGGCGCGGGTCGCACTTGGCCATCATGGACGCCGGCTCGAACGCGCTGTTGGTGATTTCCGCCACCGACAACTGCTCGTGGTACGCCTTCTCGGCCGAGATCACCGGCGCATACGACGACAACATGAAGTGGATACGCGGGTACGGCACCAAGTTGGTCTGGAACTCGGTCACATCCACGTTCAGCGCACCGTCGAAGCGGAGCGACGCCGTCAGCGACGAAATCACTTGCGCGATCAATCGGTTCAAGTTGGTGTACGTGGGACGTTCAATGTCGAGCGAGCGACGGCAGATGTCGTAGATGGCTTCGTTATCCAGCATCACAGCCACGTCCGTGTGTTCGAGCAACGAGTGCGTCGACAAGACCGAGTTGTACGGCTCGACGACGGCCGTCGACACTTGAGGCGACGGGTAGATGGTGAACCCGAGCTTGGACTTGCGGCCGTAGTCGACGGACAGACGTTCGAGCAAGAGCGCGCCAAGGCCAGACCCAGTGCCACCGCCCACGGCGTTGAAGACCAAGAAGCCTTGGAGACCCGTGCAGTTGTCAGCCAACTTGCGGATGCGGTCCAAGACCAAGTCGACGATTTCCTTGCCGATCGTGTAGTGCCCGCGAGCGTAGTTGTTGGCCGCGTCTTCCTTGCCAGAGATGATCTGTTCCGGGTGGTACAGTTGGCGGTACGTGCCGGTGCGGACTTCGTCACACACACTCGGTTCCAAATCGACGAGCACGGCGCGGGGGACGTGTTTGCCTGCGCCGGTTTCGCTAAAGAACGTGTTGAACGCATCGTCGCCGCCGCCGATCGTCTTGTCGGACGGCATTTGGCCGTCGGGCTGGATGCCGTGTTCAAGGCAGTACAGTTCCCAGCACGCGTTCCCGGTCTGGATCCCGCCTTGGCCCAAGTGGATTGAGATGACTTCACGCATGGTGTTGCTTCGAGCGAGGAGAGGTGTTGTGGGAGTAGGTGCACGGACGCTGAGAGAAAGCTGGGTGAGGGAGCTTGCTCTTGCGGTCGGATTTGCGAATGACCGACCGGGCGTTGGTTGCTATCTTTCGACGAAAATGGCTAAACATAGAAGGATGTGTTCATGGCGGGCACGTCGGTTGGGGTAACGCCTGCAATCTTTCGTTGGCGTCGCACGCCTTCTGCTTGGAAAGGCGGCACGTGCCTTTCGTCATGATTGACACACGCGTCATGAAGGGGTCGCAGCTGCACCAGCTTTCCGTCGCGTCGGGTGCACCGCGACGCTGTTTGCCGCGCGTGGTGGCGGCGGTTGCAACGAAACCGACGGTTGCAAGGGCAAAACGCCGATTGTGTTTACCACAATATTTGAATGAAATTGGAGAATATACTAGAGGTTTGTATACCAAGCAAATCGTGCGTTTGACAGAAGGATTTTTTGCCCGTTTCATCTTTTTTTCCGAAGGCTCGCGCAGCTAGTAGTAGTATGCAAATCGCTACTATCTCACGTTGATCGCAATTGTTCTTGATTGTTGTATGTAGAGAAAAACGTGTCCATATTTCAAGTCAACATCCATTCTAGTCATACTAGTCGGGGCGTGTTTACTTTCCACAGCGACGACGGCCGTTTGGGGTGCCAACTCGACGCGTTTCGCTGTTTCAGCGAGGGCGATCGACGAGCTGTTGCTTGGAGCTGCGTGACACAACACGAACAGCGTGTGCTCGTCATGTTGTTGCCAACGTTCCAAGCTGCAAAGACTAGAGTCCACACGCAAACACACGAAACATGGTTATCCGCCGAGTGTGCTGGAACAGTGAGCGGTTTGCGCGATCGTCAGGCTCACCCGAAACTTCGAACTTCGGGACAACCCAGCCAACCAAGGCGACAGACGAATGACGCAGCACATGTCTGGGGCAAGCGCATTCAATCCAGGAGGCACGAAAAAACCTACCAGAGCAACAGACACCGCTGGGAGATGCCTCTTCGTTTGGGACCGCGAGGTTTCCACACTAGTCGTTTGTTGACGAGTGGCTTTCGCTTCGAAGTACGTTGTCGCCAATTTTGTTGTCCAATGTTGCTCACCGTGTCGAATGACGGGAATTTACGATCAAAACGACCACGTTTTCGAAACAATCGGGCGAATTATGTCAAGAATTACCTTGAAAAGTACCAAGCCAGCCGCCCATGTGACTGTCTCACACCACCTGATCCACCGTGTCTCCGACGCCTTCGACCGTATAGCACTCCACCACACGAGGGCCGACGCTGTCCAAGCACCCAACTGCCGTGCATGCCGCGATCTGTCTTGCTTCTGTGTGCAGGCCTGGGGCTTCTTTCCGCGCAGTCATGCCAAGTACCCGCTGAAAACACGCTCACGTCGAACTGTTATGGACAGTGTGCTCCGCCGTCCGCCGACAGCACCGCCTTCCACGTCGTCCCCACTTGCATTATCCTCGCCGCCGACGACCAAACGAACGGATGCACAAACCAAAAGGAAGGAACTTGCGTGGAGAATGTCGGGGCATGCACGCTCTCGTGTCTGAATCCCGTCACGAGTGCAACCAACTCGACGTGGTCCATTCGAGTGGGCGTACCCAATCGCCAAGACGCCGATGTCGGTCGTGTGCATGCGATCTACGACGTCGACATCACGCCCGCCACAATGGCCATGTACGTCACCGTCCGTCGTGCTCTCGTTGATTGGCATATCCACGTTTGGCGTAGTCGCATCGCCCCGCGCGACAACGTGAAAGAACCGTCGTGGGAGCTTCGACTGTCCTCGACCAGCTTTCGCCAAGCTACGAACGTGGTCTCCATGTATGGTTGGACTTGATTTCACCACGGAGCTCATTCCCTCGCTCTTCTTCGCAGTGACATCGAGCGCCTCCTAGTCGCCAACTTCCCGTCTCTCACGATCCTGTCCAAGCTCAAGTCTCTGTACGTGTTGCTCGACTCGCTTGCTCTCCATCTCACGCCCCGCGTAGCCGTCTGAGCAACGTTGGCTTTTCGCACGTCGCGGACATCGACGGATCTGCCATGCCCGAAAATCTCGAGTCGCTGTACGATTTGCCGTCGTCTCGATCCCGTCGTCACATGCATCGCCATAGGGACCTGTCCCAGAATAATCTGCACCAACTCCCCGCATTTGTCTTTCGCAACAAGAAGCTGCAGCTCCTCAACATGACTGGCAACCCCCTCGCGAACGTACACGTGTTCTATTCCGAGTTGCTCTTCCTGCAGCGACTGCCGGCGTATTCAGGTCCAGCCATGGCCATCACGGGCGCCTGCCAAGCCGGGTATACCCCCACGACGTGGGAAAGCTCCACGCTTTGCGTGCAAGGTACTCATCGTCGTGCCGCTCTCGGACGCATCCTTTCTAATCGCCATGGGGTGCAGCGAACGGATCGTTGGAACAAGCCGCGCCGCCAGTCGCACCGACGTCGGCTCCGCCAGGACCACCACCCCCAGCGTCGTCCAACAAAGTTACTCTTATCCTCATTGGCATCGGAAGCTGCGTCATCGTGGGCGTCTTCGTGTACCTGGCCATCTTCGTCCGGCGGCCGCGCAATGGTGGGGGAAAATCTTCCTTTGGCGGACGCGGGTCGCGGACGTCGTCGGCAGGAGACGATGGGTCGTTGCACGGGATGGAAGGTCCAGCCACAGACAAGACATACTACGCCGTGCACACGGTTCGCTTGCCGGACGGCGACTCGATTGACGCGATGACGCCGCGGAGCTCGTCGTCGCGGTCGACATGGACCGTGCTGTCGTTCCGAAGCCTCTTTACCGAGATCGTGTACCCTGACTTGATCGTAGCAGACCGCCCCGTCGTCATCGTCCACGACAGCTTTCACATGGTGCGAGGCATGTTCAAAGGCAAGCGAGTCCATGTAAACCGCCTCAAGCCGATGCCGCACGACAAATCGTTTGTGTTTCTATCGCTGCTGTCGACCGTTCGCCACCCGCGGCTGACATCCGTGGTCGGCGTCAGCTGGCGCAAGCTCGATCATGTCACGGGCGGCATCCAAATGGACATTGTGTGCGAATTCATGGACTCGGAGCTCCTCGAGACGTACTTGGGTACGACGACCAAGGCGGTCGCGCCGTGGCGCGATGGAAAGATCGAGCTTGTACTGGACGTCGCCCTCGGCCTCATGCACATTCACGACCACAACTTTATCTACGACAACCTTAGTCCGACCACACTTTTCGTGGACTCGCGCAACGGATGCAAGCTCCACACGGTCGCCGTGACGTACAAGGCGCCGTTCCCGACCTCCAGCACGCTGCATGTCGCCCCTGAAGTCCTCGCGGGGGAAGAGGTCACGCTCGCGTCCGACATGTTTGCGTTCGGGGTGCTCCTCGCACGCATCGACAGCATCGCGACGCAATGGAACGCGGCCGCGGACATTTCGTTCACGCCGACATGTCCAGATATGATCGTGCAAGTTGCGATGGCGTGTCTCGAGAAGGATCCCCGCCAGCGCCCGAGCGCCAACTTTGTCTACGCCATGCTGCGCAGGGAAGCTAGCTTCATGGAGTCATAGGAACGACGAGTAGTTGTTCAATAGGGTAGGAGAGTAGAATCGGATAGGTATTGTCAAGTGTCGTGCCGATGGAAGCCAGTGGCCGTCTTCAAGCAAGCCGGCCATGCGTCCTGCCGCCTTCGTCGCGGGATGATAGCTCGAGCCGCGTCTTCAGTAGCATGACCCTCAGGGTGGTGCGTAGTGGATGTGGCCAGTCGACTGCGGCGTGTGGACGCGCCGTCGGGTGGCTGCACTCCGGCTAGAGCTGCTGCGTGAGCTCGATCTCCTGTGGTCAACTGTGGGCATCTCGACAGCGTCGCAGCTCTCGACGGCTTGAGTAGTAGCGCGTGCCGACCTGCAAGATGAAGAAGACGCGACGACATACATGCAGTGACAAAACCATTGGATTTTTGTGTTACTCGCTGGATGCGACTCAAGCAAGCAGTGGTGTCCGTTGGTGATGCGATTCACGCCACAATGGAGTTCCCGAAACTACCGGAAAATCGCGAGATCTAAATGTCCTTGCGTTGGAGACCAGGGGGGAGCGATTGGGTCAACTTGTCAGCCTTTTCGGTGTCCGTCACGCACAAAGTGTACAAGTACTACGCACGCACGGGTGAGCATACACGTGCCTGGTGTCTCCATCACACTCTGTACCTTGGAGCAGCGGATCTTGAACTTGACGACCTTGTCGGTCTTCTTGATCTTGACAGATCGGGCGTCCTTTCGGCGTGCCTTTTGGAGGAAATCACGGATATCGGTAATTTGCTTTGGCTACACACAACATTCCATGAATCAACCTGCGTCCTCACTCCCTGCGCTGTGCTCTCCGCCCTCATCGTCGCCCAGCACGTCCACGTACCATTGTGGTTACTGAATGTGGCAACTGCAGCAATACAATTCCTTGAAAACCGCACGCCGCGCCTTCACTGGTGGAGAGCGCCCCGTATACAAATTCCAAGTGAGTTTTCCGTCGACCAGTAAACCGATCGACGAAATCGATTGGTTGCCAAAACCTCTTTGTATACATATCCAATGTGGCAGGTCGCACACTATTTCAGGAAAAACACTCAAATGGTGTGAGTGGAACCTAGCCAATCCGCGCCAGTTAGAACAGATAACGGTCGGCGGAACCGACGCGGCAAACCTCGGTCTTAGACATTCATACAAATCTCAAGATGAATTTTCTAAAGCATAGAAAAAACAAGTTAGTCTCAGTGAAACTCCAAACCGGGTTTCAACACAGAAAGATCCAAAGATTCGCAACGTGCCGCGCCATTTCGAAAAAGGCGGATAAGCTCCCTCATCCAGCTTCTCCACGTCGAAGCAACACCATGCGTGAAGTCATCTCAATCCACTTGGGCCAAGGCGGGATCCAGACCGGGAACGCGTGCTGGGAACTGTACTGCCTTGAAC